AGCTCTTATCTATCACAGTAAGGCTATCTTCTTACTAGTACTTCTTTCTCCAGGCTGTTGCTTCAAATATGACAGGTGTGTCTTTTAGTGACCTATTTCCTCACAAGACTCAGGCTGAAGAATCACAGTTTAGTTACCATTGGTTTAGCATCTATTTGTGGAAATAGATCATTCTTCTCTCTGGGTTTGGTTGACCAGAACAAAATTGACTTTTATTTTGTGCTTCATTTTGAGCTAATACATTCTTGCTACCTAAAACTTGAATGTCTTAGCTCCTATTTCTCCAAGGATAGAAATGAATATGCAGAAGGAAATTCCCATACATAGACCAAACCTAGCTTTACTCTTTTTATGTTCAACTCCCAATATTAGACGTACCCAATAAATACTAAAATATTTAGTATTTATTTACTATACTAAAATATTTCAACACAAGGCAAGGTTGCCATAAAATTAATGACAGTATAGCAGTGTTTTGAAAATCAAAGACTCTGGAGAGAGTGATAGTACTTGTACTCAGATGCTAGATTGCTCACATAATAGCTGTGTGGCCTTGGTTCAATTAACTAGATCCTCTGTGACTTCATATCTTCATCTCTAAAAAGGGGCTAACAATTGTACCTACCACATATCGTGGTTGTGAAGCTTAAACTGTTTTAGAACAGTTTCTGTCTCAGTTGTTAGCTGTTATCACTAAAATTGCAATGCCAATACAGATACTTTAAATATGTTATTTAATTTTGGTTCTTTCAACAGTCCTGAAAGAGGAGATGTTATTTCCATTTTGTAGATAAGGATACTAAAGCCCAGGAAGTTTTATTAATTTTTTCCAGATCATCCAATTAGTATGGGGCAAAGCTAAGCTCAAATTCAAGACTGCCTCAAGAAAGCCTTTGCTTTCTCCTCATTACAGTTTTCCCACATTTGCCTTATTATAATGAAGGTCCTTAGTGAAAACTAGTATTATGAAAGATACCTTATGTTTACAGAGCATTTTAGCTGTGTACATTTCCTGTATTCAGAATTAGCCTTAAAGGTTATTAAATTTTAAGATATGATGAAGGAGCTTGAAGGGCACTTCACATGGAAAACTTTATTTCCCTATATACCTACTCTAGAGATAGTGAGAAAAGGAGATGGAGCAAGGGGTTATTTTAGAGGAAAGTAAGTCCACTCAGTACTATAGTGAATGCTTTGAGCCTTGCAGGGGCAACATGAGAAAAGAGATTGGAAAAAACAAAAAGTGGGAAGAAGTATGGGAAAGGAAGGGCTCAAAAACACTTAGGTGCTTCATAAGATACTTTAGGCCAAGTCATTATTATCAGCAGACACAAGAGAAGATGACATGTCTTTTAAAAATGAAATAGTTTCTGTGAAAGAATATGTCATTTTACCCATTATAGACCCAACAATTTCAATCTACATTTAATCATACTCATTTTAAAACCTGACTTTATGACTTAATATGACAAGATGGACACAATTGTTCTTTGAATTAGCAGAGTCATATTGAAATACATTATTGAAAAAACCTCAATTAATGAAATGAGCAGTCTTCTCTTTATAGCTAATTTACTGAAGGAGTTATCTTTTTTTTAGATATTATAGCTTATTTTAAAGTATACCTCTCTATTTTTTGTTTAATAGCCAATCTTTAACTTTGAACATGTTGATTTCCTGATACCAAAATGACTCTAATGATATGAAAATACATGGCACATTTACATACCAGTATGAGCTGGCTGATATTCTGTTTACACAGGTGGAGACCTACTCTAGAGATACTATACTATTCAGTTTTTTAAAGACATCCTTACAGAAATTGACATTTGAGAACCTGGGATTTTAGAGGTCTTGTTCAGGGGCTTGTCTTCCTCCTTGGCTTTTTGCTTAGGAAGGAAACTTCTGGTAGGCTGGGAATCTGGCCTGCAAATTTTATTGATTTCCTTACTATGGGTTAGGGGAACGTTTATAGTTAGTTCAGAGAGTCTTTGAAAACAAGCAGGAATTGTGGCCTTTGGGGTCAGGAATTTGTCTAGTGTTTTTGTCAGAAATAAAGGAGACACTCAAGGCAGGAGGAGAATGTGTGGTTGATGTCTAACCTTGTTGCAGCAAAAGTTCTATATCTCTACTTTTACTGTAATACTAACATTCTATATACTATTATGTTAACATTCTATATGATTTCTTAGCTCATTAATTAATGAGTTTTAAAGATCTGTAATCTTGTTTTATATGCTGATATGTTATTTTACTGTGGAAAAAATGGTGGTATCCGTTTATCAATGAAAGGGAACAGGGTTCTCTGGAGAAATGATGCTAGGGTTGGAGCAGGAACATATATATAATGAGCCTGTAGTATACTGTATTGCCAGAAAGCAAAGGACAAAAACACGTGGGCATATCAAAGGGACACAGGAAATAGAAGTTAACTTGAAGGAGCTACCAGTAACCAAAGCTGTAACAGTTTGGACAAATAACATGGTATTGTTTTATAACTCCAAGAGTAATAAATATACACGAGTCAGTACTGTTATCAATAAACTTAAACAGGTGACTAAATTAGTATATAAAGGAGAAAGGACAACACTTTATTGTAGAAGAATTCCAAAGTAATAGAAGTACATCCTTCCATGTCAGTCACTGCTGTTTCACATAATTGTCTTTAATAATTGCCTAGCATGACATTATTTGGGTGTAGCATAATTTATTTAGAGCATAAATCTTTGAGGGGCGCCTGTGTGGCTCAGTTGGTTAAATGTCTAACTTCAGCTGAGGTCATTATCTTGCAGTTCATGAGTTTGAGCCCTGTGTTGGGTTCTGTGCTGATAGCTCAGAGCCTGGAGCCTGCCTTGAATTCTGTATCTCCATCTCTCTCTCTCTCTTTCTGCCCCTCCCCTGCTCATGATCTGTCTCTCTCTCAAAAAACAAACAAACAAACAAACAAAAAAAACAACAAACATTAAAAAAAAGAACATAAATCTTTAATATTTAAGCTTTCTTCTATATTTCCTTGACATTGTAAATAAGTGCCACTAAAACCCTTGCACATATATCTTTAGTCAATTATTGATTTCTTTGTCATGGCTTTGTGGTTGTAAGCAGCATAAACTTAGTCAACTTAGTGAAAGGATAACAATTTATTGGAAGGAAATGAGTAAGTCCTACAAATAAAAGTTTGAAAGAAGAGAAGCCACAGTATTGTACTCTTGGGATGACTAAATTCTGTTCTTTCTCAGTTTTTATGTCAACTGGCTCAATGTTAACTTTCTACAGAGAAGTATCTTGCCAGCTTAAATTGGGTCTGTCCTTGGAAGGTACCTACCATGTCTTGGATGACTCCAACCAAGACTGCTTGCTAATACAGGAATAATTTCTTCAAGCACAATATAACTGCTGAGACCAGGACAAGGAGAAATGGAGTTGAATGGCAAATATGAAGACCTTTGCTACATTATCATAGTATAACTTTCTCTAACTGGAATTTCTCTGTCCAGCAGTATATTCATGTAAAATATGTATACTCTGCAAAATTTACCTCAGAAAATATACTTCTCCTAAAAAGGAGGAAGTGCTTATTTTTCCAGTTCTCACCAATATGTGTTTATCAAATTTGCAGTAGGACAAAAGAAAAATGTTGGATTATTTGTGAATTAAACATTTTCTTATGTTTATTGGCCATTTATAATTAATATTTAATGAAATATTTGCATGTCATTTATTTACTTTCTATTTAATTTATAAATTTTAGTTATTGAATAAGGATACTAACCTCCTGTCTTCTATGTATAATGCAAATAATTTTATTGACAGTTTTCTACTATTATTTTCAATTGTATTATGATAGTGTTCACCAAAGAAGATTTTAATATTTTGTCAAATTCATCTGTCATTTTATTGGATTTTTTCTTGAAATTTTCATAAAAGTTCTTCATTCAAATACTATAATAATCACCAAAATTTTCTGCAGATACTTTTATAATTTTATATTTTACATTTGCTTTTTTAAAATTTTTTATGTTTATTTATTTTTGAAAGAGAGAGAGAGAGAGAGAGAGCGCGAGCATGAGTGGGGGAGGGGCAGAGAGAGAGAGGGAGACCCAGAATCCGAAGCAGGCTCCAGGCTTTGAGCTGTCATCACGGAGCCCAGTGCAGGAGTCGAACCCATGAATTGGGAGATCATGACCTGAGCCGAAGTCTGACTTACCTGATGGAACCACCCAAGCACCCCTATATTTTACATTTGTATCTTTAGTTTATCTGGCATTTATTTTGGCATATCTGGTATGAGGTTAAAATCCAGCTCTCTTCTTTCCTATGGCTCATTTTTCATTAGATTGTAGATTTAGAAAATCTATAATTTATATAGAAAAAATATTCACAAAAATTTGACATATATTAGCACTGCTGACTAATTTCTATAATGATGTTTTATCCATATTTTTACTCTCTTTCTAGGAGGCAGATATTATAACCTTCTCTTGTATTACCATTAACTCCATAAATTTTCTCCATAAACTGATCTTTAAAAGTTTAGAATTGGCATATATGTATATGCCACACCCATTAAAAGGTCATGCTTATTAAAATATTTTGCTTGCTATTTTGTTCCTGGAATGAATGGCCAAAGTTTTTTTTCCCCTTTTAATATGAATGAAGTTAAAGATTAAATTTCAAATAATTCATATTGGATTTGTTTCCTCAAAGCATTAAAAGCAAGGACAATGATGCTACTCTTCAGGGATAATTGCTATATTAAATTATAAGAGTATATTCCAGGGTATCCCAACTCTAGTTGTCAAAACTGAATATCTTGTGTGATTTTTAATGATAGTTCATGAAAGATTGTTCTGGAAAATGGCTAACATTAAAATATCCAGTGCAAATCTAACTTTCTTTGCTGGATATAAAATTCATCTAAGAAATGGTGCATCTTATTTTCTAGATAGTGATCTTGAGGGAAATAGTGCTGAGCAGAAAATAAAAACTCTACTTGTAATGCTCTTGTTGGTTCTTACGTGGGCGAACCGAGTGGTCCTGATCCAGAATGGCTACCCTGATCTTTGTTGATAAGGAAAATGGAGAACCGGGCACCCGTGTGGCTCCCAGGGACGGGCAGAAGCTGCGGTCTAAGCCTCCAGTCAAAACTTTAGGTGGGAGATCTCAGGTTTCAACACCACAAGTAGGCAAAATGTTGGATGCTCAAGCAACCTTGCCTAAAGTTACCAGAAAGGCTTTGGGAACTGTCAACAGAGCCACCGAAAATTCAGTAAAGAACAATGGACCTCTCAAACAGAAGCAGCCAAACTTCTCTGCCAAAAAGGTAACTGAGAAGACTGTCAAAGCAAAAAGCACTGTTCCAGCCTCGGGTGACACCTATCCTGAAATAGAAAAATTCTTTCCTTTAGATTTTGAGAGTTTTGACCTGCCTGAAGAGCACCAGATTGCACACCTCCCCTTGAATGGAGTGCCTCTCATGATCCTTGATGAGGAGAGGGAACTTGAAAAGCTGTTACACCTGGGCCCCCCTTCACCTCTGAAGATGCCCTCTCAACCATGGGAGTCTAATCTGTTGCAGTCTCCAAGCGTTCTGTCGACCCTGGATGTTGAATTGCCACCTGTTTGCTATGACTTAGATATTTAAATTTCTTAGCACTTAATAGTTTGTATGTTTTGTATTAATAAAGAAATTCTTTAATAGACTCTTCCTAAAAAAAAAAAAATTTAGTGTTATATTTAAGTCATGAATTACTAAATTGTACTCCTGAAACCAATGTTGCACTATATGTTAACTAAATCTAATTTAAATAAAAACTTGAAACAAACATAAAATAAAAGCCCCTGTCTCATTATGCAGTTAAATTAAGCAAATAATTAAAGCTTATGGAAAAACTATGGGGTAAAATGTACTTAGTGATAAATGATTATTTAATTTAGTTATTTGGTTATTTTTCATGCACATGGCACTCAATATAATTTGATTTAATATTTATTAAATCAAAAAAGACTGAGAATCCCTGACCCACCACCCCTGTAGCAATCCTCAGTTTGATCTCTGTGATTAAGAGTCTCTTATGATTTGCTTCCCTCTCTTTTTTTTCCCCCTCTCCCTGTGTTAATCTGTTTTATTTCTTAAATTCGTATGGTATTTGTCTTCCTCTGACTGATTTACTTCACTTAGCATAATACACTCCAGCTCCATCCATGCCATTGCAAATGGCAAGATTCCATTCTTTTTGATGGCTGAGTAATATTCCGTTGTATGTATATGTGTACACACACACACACACACACACACACACACACACAATGTCTTCTTTATCCTTTCATCATTTGGGTTCTTTCCATAATTAGGCTATTGTTGATAATGCTGCTATAAACATCAGGGTGAATATACCCCTTGGAATCAGTATCTTGTATCCTTTGGGTAAATAATAGTTCAATTTCTGGCTCATAGGGTAGTTCTATTTTTAATTTTTGAGTAAACTCTATACTCTTTTCTAGAGTGGCTGTACCAGTTTGCATTCCCAATATGCACTATGGGAGGGTTCCCATTTCTCCACATCCTTGCCAACATGTGTTGTTTCTTTTGCTGTTAATTTTAGTCATTCTAACAAGTGTGAGATAATATTTCATCATGGTTTTGATTTGTATTTCCTTGATGATGAGTGATGTTGAGCATCTTTTCACGTTGTCTGTTGGTCATATGGATGTCTTCTTTGGAAAAGTGTCTATTTGTCATAGACTTTGCATCTAGACTTCTTTCTTGTCCAACAAGAAAGCAGGATGCAGAATTAAAATTCGAGAGATGACTAATGTCCAGGAAAAGACAAGAACCCTGATTAAAGGTCTTTGCTCCGTTTTTATTAGGATTAGAAGGCTTATAAACATGGTGATGGACATGCGCAAAGAGACAATGAAACTGTGAACATTTACTCATGGGAGTGAGGGAAAAAAGGTTTTAGAGATATGTGGGGTTAGGGGTTTGGGTTAAAACAAAGCAAAATCCTGTTGAGGGTGGGGGTTGGGAGGAAGTTGTTTACAGCAGACATGAGGCACCACCTCTGTTTACCTAAACTGGTCTAGGGGACTAGAAAGACAGTACATGCTATCTCAAGGTCAATAAGGCACCTTTCTTTTGCTAATCAGCTCTGCTCTGGGCAATTGCCCCTCCACCCCAATGGTCTCTAGCCCTATTTTACCTGTTTACCTAATTTTGTCCTTCCTTCCTATGAAAGCAGCTTTCTTTTATAGTACTAAGTTGGGGGGCATTTCTACCCTGAATACCTAATCTTGTTTATCTCATATACCTTTGTTCTATATTGGGGCCTTTGCCCTGCCCTCTCTATACCTATTCACTAATCTTGTTTACCCAAACTTGGGTGTGAACATCCTATGGCTTTCTAATTCTTTATGTCTTGTTAACCCATCAGTGCAAGCCTGGGGAAATCCTAAGCTTATTCCCCACATCTATTCATGTCTTTTGCCCATTTTTTTTTTTTTTTACCGGATTATTTGTTTTTTGGGTGTTGAGTTTGATAAGTTCTTTATAGATTTCAGATACTAACACTTTATCAGATATGTCATTTGCAGATATCTTCTCCCATTCCTTACACTGCCTTTTAGGTTTGTTAATTGTTTCCTTCACTGTGCAGAAGCTTTTTATCTTGGTGAAGTACCAATACTTTATTTTGCTTCTGTTTCCCTTTCCTCTGGAGACATGTTTGTGAAGAGGTTGCTTAGGCCAAGGTCAAAGAGATTGCTGCCTTTGTTGTCCTCTATGATTTTGATGGTTTCCTTTCTCAAAAAGGAGATAGGTGGGGGATGGGCTAAATGGTGTTGGGTACTAAGGAGGGCACTTGTGTTGAGTACCAGGTGTTATATGTAAGTGATAAATCAATAAATTCTACTCCTGATACTAATATTATACTATATGTTAACTAATTAGAATTTAAACAAAATTTTCAAAAATAAAATAAAATAAAATAAAATAAAATAAAATAAATAAAGTAAAATAAAATGACAGAATTGTATCACATTGCACCAATCACTTGGGACTGAAAACAAGCCTGAGCTCACTTGAGTATATCAAATTATTTATTTTAATGTGTTCCATCAAATAACAAGGTCATACAATATATATTTAGGGCCAGAGTAGGCAATCTTTAAGATGTATGTCCATGCTCTCTTAATAATCCTAGTACTACTTGCAAGCTCTATAATCTTGGACAAATAATTTAACACTAGTCTTTGGAACCAGTTCAACTTTCTCTTTGTTACCCTCTTTCCCTTCTATAAAAGGCAGAAATGTCTTTTATTCCCTATATCCTTTGTATCTTTTAATTCCTATGTGCTGATGAACTAGAGTTTTGAGACCTAAGTCATTCTCAAATTTCCAGTCAGTCAGATGTAGCTCAAAGTACAGCGGAAAGTCTGAGTCATAAGCCCTGAGTTTTAGTCCAAACTGTTATTTATCAGCTGTTTAAATTACTTAAACACATTTTGCTACAGCTTTTCATCAGTGATGTGTAGGATGTGAGTGGCAATTGAAAATAATTTTAGGGGTTTTAATACTTGAGCTAGTGAGAGGAAATGTCTGTGGGTAGTGGTGGCCTTAGAAAGAAGGGAGATGACAGAAAAGATCAGTGTTGCTTTCTTCTGAAAACAGTCAAATTTATTTGAGCCCCATATGTCAAACAATGAACACATTGGGCACTTAGAAAAATGTGTAGTACTGTACACTTCTGATACTGTATCATTGAATCTATACAATTTAACACAAATAAAATTTTTTTAATAAAATTGTATTATTAGATTGCTTCACTCTTATCATGCCATTAAATGTAATGTCTTATTCACTCAGGTAGCTTATGAGTTATTTGAGGGTCAAAATACTAGTCGTATTGTATTATACGTTGAATTTTTCATGTTACCCATAACCAGCAAATCTTGATCTGAAATTACTTTCCTTTCCTAATACCATTTAATTCCTCTTTAAATACTATTAAGTTTTGGTTCTTTTATGGGAATATTTGCATTAGTAGTCACTAATGGCACCCTTGGACTAAATTTTTTACATTTCTTGATTTGAAGTCTTTTCATCCTCAGCAGAGAACAAAATACTATGCAAAAATGGTTAACACTCTTAGTCTTTAAGCTTTTTGATGAGGTTTAGTATGAGGTTTAGAGTCATGTTGTCCATGCCTTGTCCCTTACTAACTTTGGGACCTGAGGAAATTAATTTCTCTGACCTTCAATTTATCATCTATAAAATCAGGATTATAATATCCCGCTTTTAATAACTTTTATTAGATTTAAATACTAAAGTGTCTGCATAGCATTTAGTCAGTAACTCAGAACATGGCAAGCCTTTTATTGTTACTATATAATAAGAACCTATATTTTTAAATTATTTCTTAATATTTTTGTCATTTCCCTTTTTAAGCTTTGTGTTCTTTCTTAAACCCAATTTATTCTACCACAGATCCTGTCAAAATAAGGGTGACTTCAGTGTCTCCATAAATACTTCAGTCTTACAGGTCCTTGACTTGTTCTACTTCATTGAGCTATATGTTTGTACCCCAACCCCACAGTCATTCCTTAATATATATATATATTGCATATTTGGAGAAATTTGAGTGATTGAATTAGGCAGATGCTTGGTAAATCTTGATTTATTGCACACTGATATCAACGGGTTTTCCCTGCCTGTTACTTTATCTTATTCCTCATGCTGTCTTTCTTGCTCACTTTATGTTAATGCAGAATGGTTATCTAGCTTTCATTAGTTAATACAGTATAAAGTTTGGGCCCTTCAATCACTGTCAGTTCACATTCTTTTGGTTGCTAGTGATGGGAACCCATCTCAAACTAGCTTGAATAAAAACTCAAGTAGCTGGTTTTACCTAAAAGATGGGAAATCATTCATTAATGTTATTGAGAATCTCACATGCGAGTTCTGGATTTAAGGAAGTTGAATCTGAAAGGTTCAAGCAGTGCTATCATGCTTTTTTTTCTCTTCAACTCTGCATCTCTGTCTCTCTTTATCTTTCAATCTGTCTCAATTTTTTGGCTCTCTGACCCAATTCGGTTTTATTTTCAGATATGTGCTAGTAAGAAGTTCTGGCCCTACCATTGCTTACCAAATCTTTCACCAAGTTCCCATTGTCCTTCTTCAGGTGGTCTTATATATCATTTCCCTCCTTGTGACAAGCCTTTGCATATGTCCTTACCCAACTTAAAATCACCTGCCTTTGAAAGGTGGCATATTGTGTCAACTAGCCCAGTAGAACTTATTCACCAAATAAATTTTTTTTGTCTATTATTATTTATGTAAAATGAAAAAATACAGCACAGAAGCTTCAGGTTGGTGAACCAGAATGCATCCTCATCCCAGGCCTCAAACTCCAAAGGCATATCTTGCATTTGGTATCTCTTCATCTGGTAGTTCATTCATATTCTTTAATACCCCTTTTAATGAACTAGCAATCTAGTAAGCAATATATATATATATACATATATATATATCTATATATATATATATATACATATATATGTGTATATATATATATGAAATATTAAAATTTGAGTTTCCTTTTGGAGAGATCTTTTTGAATTAACAACTTTAAAGGCTCTAATTAATTCATTCTATTTCCCTTTAGATATCAGCACAAACATCATTTCCTCAGGGAAATTTTTCCCTG